GCATCTTGGAAAATGACTGCCATTAGGCACAACCACAACAAACCCACTGTAATCCCATCTAGGGAAACCCTTTGTTTTCTACAGGGGAAAGGTTGATAATGTACATATTGACCATTTGACCCCCAGACTGCCATTAAGCACAACCACAACAAACCCACTATAATCCCATCTAGGGAAACCCTTTGTTTTTTACAGGGGAAAGGTTGATAATGTACATATTGAGCCCCAGACTGCCATTAAGCACACAACTGTTAAATTCTAATAGTGATGTAGACAATAGATCAAAAGAGGCACTTGAACTTGAAACAGATGAGCCAGACATGGACATATAGTCCTATGTGATAGATCCCGAATAGAAATTATTTGTTGGCTCACCTTGTTAATGTTTGATATAATGGTCAGGCCTTTGGAGCAGACAGGAAGGAAGTGAGGGCAATACTTCCCTGAGAAGAGGTCTGTACAAGTTCATCAATTGGCCTCTCCCTTTGAAGAGATAAGAAAAAGGTAAGCCGGGTGAATAACATATGCGATTTATTACTCGTTGAACATTTGGATTCCACATTCATTCATTTAGCACCATTGATTCTTTGCAGTATGGTAGTTCGATTATGTTTTTAAAAAAAGAATGTGCCCTCCCTGCTACCGGCATATAGACTATTTTTTTGCTGAATAAGGAATTCGTACCATGTACATCGGTCGACTGCCATTGAATTTCGCTATTTTTATTGTTTCGCTTCTAGCGGCATTATTGGTTGAATTGAATCTTTAACATGACATTAACGTCTTATTGACCTAGAAGTCATAGATTCAAGTGTTTTTTTTTGAAGAGATTCAAATGTTATTCTCAATTAGGTATAGAAATTTAATGTTCACGTGTAAGTTTTGATTAAAAAACAAACCTCACATGCACTTGAGCTTGTGTGTTTGAGTATAAAACTTTCTGAAATAAAAACTCTGAGTTTGAGCTTTTGGTTGATTTAGGATTCTTAGTGGGTGTTTGGGAGTGTTGTAGATTATTGAAAAAATAGAAGTTTTTAGTCGAAGTGGAAAACAAATATTTTTAACTTTGCTTAAAAGCATTTATGGAGTTCATTTTTTACTACAAAAGTCATAATCTATAAGCAGAAGCAGATTGACAAACACGATAAATATTATTTTAGTAAAATAGAAGCTCATAAGTTGTTTTTAAACGCAATCCGAAACGTTCTTTTAATAGTAGCCCAAGTGATGCTAATGGCACTCAAGTGTAACACATAGTTTGTCAAAGTAAGAGTTTGTCATGTACTAAAATACCCTTTAAAGACAAGTGCAAACCTATCCTCCTCCATGGACACGATGACCACCAATGTCCAGTTGACTCCGGCCCATGGAAACAGTACTTCATGACCGGGTCTGCTACTTTTTGGTCAGTTGGTCTTGGTTTGTCTCATCATTTGATTTGTTTTTTTTCATCCAGTTATTTCTAGTTTGGTATTTGTGAAGTATACTTCCTCCTCCGTCCAAAAATTATTTACAATTTGAATTCAAGAAATCTAAAATGCGTTAAAACAAATGTGTAATATCAATTTATTTATACAAAAAAGAATTTGGTGACTCACATAATATCAATGTGTAAAATCAATTTATTTATACAAGCTCTAAAACAAATGTGTAATATCAATGGATATTATATTTTTAAAATAAAAAGTCTTAGCTTTTTTTAGTATTTATCATTCCGTAATAGATTTGAGAAGATATCCCATATGTTTTGAATTAGTTTTCTTTCTTTGGATTTACGGAGATTTTAAAAAAGTGTTGAAAAAATTTAAAATTTTTCAATAAAAAAAGAGTAAGAAATTTACATAATTTTAAACGGGGTGAAAGAAAGGGGAAATTTTCATGAGGAAGAGGAGTAAATATCAAAATAATCATGTTGGGAATGCAGAAGTCAAATCATTGTGATGCATCAATGACTGGCAATAATTTTGAAAAGAAATAAACTGTGCTGAAGTATTGAAATGCAAGGCTGGAAGAGAATGATAAAAAAAGAGAATAGTCCGAGTCTGGAAACAGCTAAGTTCCCAACTCCCATTAACTCCTTGACACACTTATTTTTTTCTCTTTTTTTTTAATTTATATTTCTCCACTTTTCTTTACAAAAAAAATAATGTAGACTCATGATTTTTTTCTATTCTAATTAGGTTTTATTCTTTTTCTGAAGTTAATTAGGGGCGTATGAGGTATTGTTATACCATATCACGTTGTCGGATATCCATTTTGTTGTAGGCAAAATTATCGGAAAACGTAAAGACACACAGATTTAACGTGATTCACCAACGTGTGTTGGCTACGTCCACTGCGACTCCGCCCCGGACCCCATGCAAGGGGGTGTCGCCCCCTGACTTGCTGACCAGGCAGCGAGACCCCCATTTACTTATTTGCGTAGCGGCAAAAAATAATACAGATTCGAAGCATATTAACAATTTGTTTGTGATTCTAATATTACACTATTCAGTGTTTTCCTGTTGAGGAGGAAGAGTCAATTTTTGCCAGCCTAGGGAGAGTGGAGGACGTACGTACGTAGGTACGTACGGTAGGTACCTTCCACCGGCCGGCCATTAACGCTAATTAATTATTACTGTGGTGTGGAGAGAAACAGTGAATGACTGATTGAAATATTGAATGAATATATAGGCGCTCGGCTCGTAGTTTGTTTGCTTTAATTTTGATCCACCCACGGAATCCCAAGCTATATATAGGGTTCCTCACTCCCTTCCATTGGTAATTTGGTATGTACGATGTATAACGAGAGAGCGTTGCCTAGTTAGCAAAGGTAGAGAGTGTGAGGGATAAATTTGATTTTGATTCTTGGTACTGTGAGTAATCATGTTAAATATAGGGTCTCTGCAAATATGCAAATTTTGATGTTTTTTTTTTAAAAAAAAGATTTTATGAACGAATTGTTAAGAAATACAAAAGTATAATTTATATGTTTAGAAAGTATATCAAAATTCTATTGAATAAACGACGACAAGCCTATTTTGTTTTTCCAAATGATTAATGGAAGTGTGTACACAAACAAAAAACTATCACAAGTCTCAAGTATTTAAAGCAAGATCTCTTGTAGAACCGGTTGTACCTATATCTGGGTACAACCAGCCGTGAAACAAGGGAAATGGGACGACCGGCGAAGGAGAATAGACCAATCGAAGGAAGGAATTTGACATGGAGGAACAGTTCTCGACCGTAGTGGCGGTACGATCTGATCTGGACATCGGCTGTGGCCTGTGTGTGCTGATTGCACACGAAGGACGGTTCCAGGCCTTAGGTTGCTGCGCGGCTCTATCTTACTCTTGTGCCCACGGTGCGTGGCTGTGCGATATGTGATTGTAGATCAGTGTCAAAAAAATAATGTCTGCAGTGTTACTCTCAGAAATTCTATACTTAGCATAGTTGACTCGCAAGTCCTTCTATACTTAGCATAGTTGACTCGCAAGTCCCGGCACATTTTTTTTCCCAATGCAATATGGTTTGTGGCGGGAGAGGGGAGGAATAGGGGGGCAGCACGTGATCACGTGGCGGCAAACGGAGTAGATGCAGCAGCGGTGTACTGATATGATGTCTCTGCCGTCAACGTCAACATTATTTACAAAGAGAGCACACGCCAGCTGGCCAGCCCTTTGTCTCCTTTTTGCCCAGCTGGCTCTCCATTATATTTCCCCTCCATCAAAGGCAATCTTTATTCTTCCCTCCCTACCCGTGGGCGTAGAGGGTAGGGTACATGCCTAACGCTGCCACCCT